CCAGTTTTGAGGATATTTTTTGTGTTCAAGAAAACTTCAAGTTTAAAGTCAATGTCTGGACTAGATTTCCACAGTTTGTCAAATAGAACTTGTGGTCAAGGTTTTAGTCGGTGGCCTTTTAAGTTCAAAGTTAGTTTGTCATCTTTGTGCTCTGCGTTAACTCCACATTTTACATGAAGCAATCAGCTTTAAAAAGTTTAACTCTTCTTTACAGGACTCACACGGTCCTGTAAAGAAAAACAGTTCAGTGAAAAGCCTCAGTTTTTGTGTGTCTGCGAAACATGATGAGTCAATATTCATGTCAAGTGTCATATGAGGTATAAAGAAAATCCAATTTTCATCTGTTCAAGGGTTTTTATGTACTTATGTTTCTTCTGTGTTTTAGATTCAATAGATTTGTTGTGAGTCTGGCTAAAAATTCAGGCCACAGTGCTTCAAAGAGCATGATGCATTTCAAAAGATGCTTTCACAAGTTTTCCTCAAACAGGGGCTTAGATGCCTTCTGGCTGCCTCGATGTGATTTCTGAATGGACAGAAGCAGCCAGGCAGTCAAAGCCAACCCACTCCTGAGAGGCCTTTGCGCCATTAAGTGAGGTACTAATAGAGCCAAAAACGGTCAACATGTAAAAGTTAAGCCGGCGCAGCAGCTCAATAATGTCATGAAGTGCTGACAATTGGTCTGTGCAACCACCATGCCGCGGGATTAAACAACAAACAGCTTTAGGATGAAGGTAAGATGAATGATAATGCACAGCAACTTCACATTTACCGGTAGGCTTTAAAAAAAAATTATTTTACAAAAAGAAGAGAAGAAAATCACTATACTGAATCAATTACTCATGATTTGAAATAAATACGAGGGAGATGTCTGACACATGTTTTATGCGTTGCACTCTGCGTCAACAAAGCTGAGTTCTTCTTCACCTTATGTGGTTCTGTGGTGCTCGCTTTATTTATGAACGCTCACGTCTGTGCAGAATGTGGCTGGCTCCAACTGCGACTTTTGAACGACTAAAAACATAAAAACTGAATGGTTTGTGCAGATATTTTGCTGAACTGTTTCATAAAAGAGCCAATAATAATAATAATAATAATAATAATAATGATGATGTGACACAGTGGCAAATCAACTCAAAACTACAAGTATTACACAATACTCATAATCATGAAGGGAATGTTCACAGAGATCAGAATTTTTTTATTTTCTTCCTTTCTCCCTGTAGGGGTCACTAAAGCGAGCAAACACACAGAAGTTTTAACAATAGTTTTACGCCAGATGCCCTTCCTGACGCAGCCTGAGATAAAACCCGCAGCCTCAGGAATAGGAGTCTGCAGCACCACCAAGTTACAGCTTCCAGGATTTTTATTTTCTACCACACGAGTATGTCTCTCAAAGTCCACTGTGACAGATACAAAACAAGAGACAACCAAACAGTCACAATGAAGGATTGAAATGCCAAAAAACAAAGTTAATAAAAACAAACCCATTAGTCATAGTAAAGCATGGTTCGATACTTAATTATATTACTTTGTGCCTATCTGCCGTTGCCTCTATCATGAAGCAACACCCACAACATTGGCAAGAACTCAAGTGTATTCAACATACTCGCCAGGGTGCTTGTTAAAAATGATTTGGGTCACTCCAAATCCAGAACTGGACGTGACGAAGTCAAGCTTGTGATTTGCAGTGAAGAATAAGAAGTATGAAGAAATCAGAAGCTGAATTACAGTTATCCATTCCTCCATCCATCACTGTGCGAGAGGTGGGGGACACCCTGGACAGGTCTCCAGTCCATCACAGGGACACATAGAGACAAATAACTCACACCTAGGGATAATTTAGAGTTACCAATCAGCCTAACATGCATGTTTTTGGTCTGTGGGAGGACACCGGAGAACCCGGAGAAAACCCACGCATTCATGTGGCGAACATGCAAACTCCACCCAGAAAGGCCCCCCGGACGGGATTTGAACCAGGATGACCTTCTCACCGAGAGGCAACAGCACTACCAACTGAACCACCATGTCACCTCAATTACAGCTGTATAATACAGAAGAAAGAAAAGAACAATTAAAAGTTCAAGTTGAGTTATTTTATTTGCAGAAGGATTTTATTTCAGTAAGTTTTTGATAATTAAGATTTAGGATAAAAAAAACAACAACAAAAAAACAAACAAGCAACAGATACTTTAGATGTTAGAAACAAGGAAGTGGGCTTCCACTGTATACTATGACCAACGAGTGGTCATTACCACACTGCTGTATGTTTATCCATACTGTACTATAAATTATAAACTGTGCAGGTCAGACTTACTAAGGATCAAACAGCCAAAACTCCCTCTTTCATCATATTCTCATGCCACAATCTCATGATTAGACACACCAAGTCACAACGGCCTTTTTGATTACCAGAGCAAAATATGTGCTGGCTGCAGTGCAAAACATGTTGTAATTTTGTATTGTAATATTGGTATTGGGCAGCACGGTGGCGCAACTGGTAGAGCTGCTGCCTCTCAGCGAGCAGGTCCCTGGTTCAAACCCCGGTCCAGGGGCCTTTCTGGGTGGAGTTTGCATGTTCTCTCCGTGCATGGGTGGGTTTTCTCCGGGTACTCCGGTTTCCTCCCACAGACCAAAAACATGCATGTTAGGCTGATTGGTAACTCTAAATTGTCCCTAGGTGTGAGTGAGGGAGTGAATGATTGTTTGTCTCGTTTGTCTCTATGTGGCCCTGTGATGGACTTGCGACCTGTCCAGGGTGTACCCCGCCCCTCGCACAGTGATTGCTGGACATGGGCACCAGCGACCCCCGTGACCCAAAATGGAATAAACGGGTAAAGAAAATGGATGGATGTTGGTATTGTTTGTTGCTGTGAATGAGATTAGCAAAAAAAAATAAGTCCATAAAGATGTCGTCTAGCACTTCCTGTAACTAAAATAGAATATAATCATCCTAATCTACTTTTAACTAAAAGTTTTCTAACAAGCAAGTCCTCAGAAATATTTATTTTCATTCTGATCCTTTTAATTTCCCTGAAATTTACAATTTATCTCTGACGGCTGCAGTAGCCTTAGGAAATCCCCACGTATGTATGGAATTGTCAAACGTGGGGATTTCCCTTTTAAAAACAGTGCTGGAAAGTCCTTTGAACACTGCTCCAGACCAATAAAAATCGATTTTTCAATTGGCACTCTCATAAACAATCAAGATTGTTGCTAGCCAGGTGATGAATTTCAACAAATTATGCATCTTTCTGAAGTTTCTGAGATGGAGAATTTGAAAATAATAGTGGCTCAGTATTGAAAGACTCCTCATTGTGACTCATTTTGCCAGCACGGCTCACAAATGTTTAATACTAGTAGAGTGCACTGGGCAGAGCTGAAACTATTTGTCGGCCGTTTTGATGGCACCCTTTCGGTTCTTTTGTTCCCAGGTGGAGAGGAAACTCAACAGAACTCAATAAAATCAAGAGAGGTAAATTATTTTTACCCTTTATATTAGTAAGACAGGAAAAATTACAAGGTCAGCGTTGGGGCGTCCATCCAACCTGTTGCAACCTGAAACCAGAAGCCGAGACCCCGTGAAAAAAAAACGTCCCAGCTTATGTTGGCCCACCTTCACATCCGGGCGGGCACAGCCTATCAGAGCGTATCAGTGGAATGACTATGTGTGACTTCACCAGTCTTATCTGTTCTGATTGTGGATAATCGGTTGATGTGCAAATCTAAGTGTTAGAAGCAAGCAAAAAAGAAAAACGACTACTTATCGGGTGTTGACCATTTGCTCGCTCATTGTGAGCAGCTGACTGACTGGTATGATCTGTTCCGAACCAGGTTATGAGTCAGAGTAGACCAGACCGGGCCTCCAGCAAAATTAAACTTCTAACATATTGACTGCCATGTAACTTAGTGCACTAAAAAGTGAACAATCTAAAAACATGTCTTACTTCAAACCACATTATCCTAATGACTAACTCATTATTTTAAATACAAACAATAGCCAGATTGTCAACAATCAGTATCTCCTATAAGTTGCATGTCAAAGTGAACCATACAAATGAAGTCGGTTGAACAAACTCTCCTTAAAACCACAAATGTCAGAACTGAAAATATTTGTCATAGTCCAAAAGGATGAATGCGTGTTGTCCCAACAGGTTATCGGAGCACTACAGGACCAGAGATGACACTGAGCCGGCTAGGCGCAGGAAGGGGCTATTTTCTTGGAGTGACAAATATGTAGAGAAGACAAAGACAAAACTGAGAGTAGAGCCCCTGATGGTAAAATGCCCAAGCTTTGTCTTTGTCACACAGCGTGACAAAGATGCACAGCTCCACTCCCCGAGGTGCGCAGTTATGTGTGCACTGTGCGCATGTGTTTGTGCTGAATGGGAGTCATAAAACCCTTCTCCTCATATCCTTGAAAAAAACCTGTCTCAACTCCTGAGCTTCTGGTCTTAGTGCTTGTGGCTAAATGTGCAAAATAAATAATTGAATCCAGACTTCTGCCCTGTTACAAGCTAATAAAGTTGAACAATTAGCCTCACTGACAACTGCTGAATCAGCCCATGCTCAGACGCTGCACAACCCCTACTTAATAAGTCTACAGGTAAGCCGAAGAAGATACGAGTGGACGTTTAACGGCAGCAGCTGGTGTGAGCAGTGACTTGGTCTGAGGTGAGGGAACACTTGCTCTACAGAGCTGCTTCGAGCCAGCAAGATTAATGGAGGCTCTCTGGAGCAAAAGCAACAACCACAGCTTTAATAAGGTACAAACAATCGGTTCCACTCCACTGGCCTCCCAGGGAAAACTATTGTTGTGCTGCATTGTTTCTTGGTGAGGTTCCTTGGAGACACATGCCTACTGCAGTGTGTGACTGTCTCCAATACAGCCAGGGAGAACTCAGCGTAGTCCTTCGTTTGTCTGTGTCAGAGTGAAGCCCGGCTCTCTCCCACCCCTACAACCGCAACGCTTTCCAAACTCTTTTTTTTGTTTCGTCGCTTACCTCAACTCCCTGCACTTTCAACTTCATGTGATCCTCCCGTGTCGTCTTTCCATCTTTCCTCTTCTTCCAGCAGTAGCCGTCCTTTCTGTACTTCACCTTCTTCCTATTGTACAGTATCATCGACCCATTCTGCGGCCTGGATCCATAGACACAGGGCGGACAAAGGGAAGGCAAAAAAAGAGAAAGATTATATTAGTTTATTTATTTATTTTTTGGAAGTTAAAGTAGAGCCCAGCTTGGGAACTCATTTTAGAGATGTACAGAAAGGTCTGACACGAGTCTGGGCCAGACAGAAAAATATGCGCCACTAACTTCAATGACAAGACTTCTTCACAGTGTTCCTCAGTATCAGCATGCACAGTTGGACAAGGAACAAACCATCCTTCATCATTATTGTTTTTTTTCAAAATGAGAAGTGTGTGTGCTATGAGGAGTTAAAGTGGGTGCAGAAGAGTGGGCTTCCACCATTATCTCCTGTTCATTCACCTGAAATGAGTTGTGGTGTTGAAAATCCCTTAGAGAAAGAGAAGATCCTCCCTCACAGTCCATTCATAATTCAACCTCCCTCCACCAGACCACAGCCTGTTGACTCATCTTAATATAGTGTAACTACGTGATGATAATCTGCCTTCCACTTAGATTCGTATCATAAGCATTTGGCACCTGGTGTTGAACATTAACAGAAAGTCTAGCATAAAATATTTATAGCTTTCTCAACAATCAGGAAGCAGATGTATGCTTGCATTGGTATTTGCGTGTTTTGCAAAATGGCTTTGTGTCGTCATTATAAATCCATACGTATTGCTGTACTGCACATTTTCTCACTCTTCCATCATCAAACACAGACACATTCATCGACTCCACCGAAGACGTATGCTATCTATAGCAACAAACAGGACTTACACAATGTCACTTCAGCATTGACAACGTGATGTGTGCATGCGCAATAGTCACACCGAAGGACATTGGCTGTCAAGTGAGACAAATATACTCAAACACATCCACCACAAATATGATAAAAAACTCATAAGTTTTCACTTTTCATGACTAAGTAAAAAAGGGAACTCTGATATAGCAAAGCTCACTCAGAACTAAACTTTGTTGAACACAGTAATGTTTTTTTTAATCAATTATTCCCAAAATTATGTTAATGAGATGTACAGTCACAGGAAAAATGAAAGTCCAGCCATAATAAAAATGGTCTGATCTTTACCAGGTTCTGACCTTTTTTCAAATCTAATCTCTAGTGTGCAAACAAATTTTACCATGCCATCATTTATTAACAAAAATGAAGCTAAAGCTAAAAGAACGAGTTACCTCAATTGTCAGACAGGCCCCCCTCCCTCTCGGTTTTCAAGTCCCGTTTAAAAACTCACTACTATTCAGTAGCTTTCAACACCAGATGATCTGTGTTTTGATCCTGTATGCTCCACACTGGTTAGTCGTCATTATCCACATCGTTTTTTGTCTATATTCTGATTTACCTCATTTTGTATTTTGCTTTGTGTGTTACCTGTTGTTTTGTCTATACAGCACTTTGGTTGGCCTTGTTGCTGTTTTAAGTGCTTTATAAATAAAGTGGTATGGTATGGTATGGTAAAATTGAAAGGCTGTTTGAGAAAAACTAAGTCCACCTGATGATTCTGCAGCTTGTAGGAACTATTTTAGCAGCAAAAACTTGAATTAGTTGTTTTCTGTATGACTTCATTAGTCTTTCATGTTGGTGTGGAGGAATTGTGACCCACTCTTCTGTACAGCATTGCTTCTGTTCATTGAGTTTTGCAGAGATTTATATATGCACAACTATCCACCACATCAATACAGTCAAGTTGAGAGGTCTGGGCTTTGCCTGGATTATTATTTTTATTTATTTATTTATTTTCCCCAGTTATACCGTTGCTGCTGTTTGGAATCATTGTCCTGTTGCATCAAGATCTAATTTTGACCAATCTTCAGCTGTCAGACAGATGGCCTCTCGTTAAGACTCTAAACTACTGTAGTTTACAGGAGTTCATGGTTGACTCACTGACTGCAAGGTGCCCAGGTCCCAAATCATCACCCCTCCACTTTATGCTGAATAGTTGGTGCGGTGTACTTGTGCTGATATGCTGATTGATTTTCACCACACATGCTGATGTTCATTATGGCTAAACATTTATAATTTGGCCTCATCTGTCCACAGGACATTATTCCTGAAGTTCTGTGGTTCATTCAAATGCAATTTTGTAAACTCAAGACATGTCAGCGTTACTTTAGGACAAAATAAACTTTGGTAACGATTCTTAAAAAGCCATTCTTGTTCAGTTTTTTTTTTTTTTTTTTTTTTTGGTCCTGTCATGAATGTTAACTTTTAACCTGCTAAATGAGGCTTATAGAGTCTGTTTTTCTTAAGTTTTGTATTTTTTTCCTTCAAATTCTCTGACCATTGCACAGTCTGACCTTGGAGTGGATTTCCAAAGTAACCTGAAGGCGGGAAGACTGGAAGCTACCTTAAAAGTTTTCCAAGTTTGTCAAATCATCTCTCTTTAGACTGAGGCACATTACATTGTTCTTAAATGGCCCATCCCAGAATGATGGACAGCAGAAGTCATTGCTGATATCTTTCCTTCTGTCTGCTCCATACCTGTATGTAGCTGTGATGCAGTGGCAGGTCAGCCAACTTAGGACTGGAAAGTTGTAGGTTTTACTCACTGCCATGCCCATTTGTTGTGGTGTCCTTGAGCAAGGTACACATTCTCCAATTGCTTCCTGAATGATTAAACCGCTGCTTGCTGCTCCACTTGGGTGTACAGTAATCCCTCGATACTTGGTGATTCGACTTTCGTAGACTGACTCTTTCATGGTTTTTCAAAGTAAGATTGTATAGGACACATAAATATCAACTTTAATGTTACTCACACGATTGGGACAGGACGGAGTACTGTACAGTAAAAAGTTTACGTAAAAATAAAATACTGTAGACAGCCGCCGCCATTTTGTAGTTTTCTCTCAATAAGCCTATTTCCACTCATAACAACTACATTTCCCAGAAACCAACAGTGCTCCACCCATAAGCCCCATTTCCTTCTGCTGAAATACAGAGGGAAAGTTTTGATCTGATCGGAAAAAGTTCGGTCCTTATTCATACAGTGACTTTGGCGCCCAGCAGATGCAGAGAGCTGCACAGAACCCACTGGGAACCGGACCTCCAGACTCATTGGTCAATCTGAGAGTGGCTTGCCGGCCCACGAGGACTTCTGAGTGGGGACGTGCTGCCCGTAGGTCCGATGTTCCACCGGGACTTTTTCATCCAGATTTGGACTCAATTGGACCACCACCGTCTGGTCCCGTGTTGGCCGCATGAAGGTCCGGCTCCCTCCAAAATGCATTTCGGTACTCAAGGGCTGCACAGAACCGGAGCAGAACCAGCAGGGTAGGTCTGCTGGACCAGAACCAAGCAGCCATTTCTGCAGAGCTGGTGAGTAAAATATTGCAGTAGTGTATGTAGGTTAAAGAGTTTAGAACATTGTGGGCTTCATCGCTGCAGGGTCGGTCTGCAGAACTGGAACCGAGCTGCTGTACATTACTCACTTAACTTAAAATTTCAAGCTGAGCGAATAAACATTATCAAGTTATCTTGATGAACAAACTCTTGCTAAATAAATTTTGCTTTAGTTTAGTTTATTTAAATTTAATAGTTGACTGAAATATTTTAGTTTGTTGCGTCAACTCAGAAATCAATGTCAATTTAACTTAAGTGTTAAATAAAAAAATAAAAAAATAAAAAAAAACATAGCAATTCTACTTCATGGATTTTCACTCATTGTGAGGGGGTTGGGGTCCAGGACCTTACCCATGCAATAATCGAGGTCAAACGAGGTTACATGGTCAAACACAGAGCACAAACATCATCACTGCATGGGAACACACAAAGACAACAATACAAAACGCTTGCAGATCAGCATCCTACCTTTACAGAGGTTTATTTATTTATTGACCTTTATTTAACCAGTCAAATCTCATTGAGATCACAGGTCTCTTTTGCAAAGGAGGCCAGGGCCTGAAGGCAGCCTAACATGCATGTTTTTGGTCTGTGGGAGAAAACCAACACAAGCACGAGAAGAACATGCAAACTCCACACAGAAAGACCCCAGGTCCAACCAGGGATTGAACCCAGGACCTTCTTGCTGTGAGGCAACAGTGTTAACCACTGAGCTATTGTTCTGCCATGAGAGGTGATCATGATGATGATGATGATCAGTGAATTAAGTGCATTTGATCAGCAGCACCTGACTGATATTCTCACTGGAATCCGTGGTGTGTTTTTGTACACTTGAGATTAAATTAGAATTATTTAGGAACCTGGAAAATATCTTTTTTTTTTTTACGTCCTTATATGTAAAACTATAACTGGAAGAGGGTGGGCTTTCGTTTCCCTATGACTCTCCAGGTTCTGCAGGCACACAACACAAGGACAGAGAAAAAGAAAAAGAACTGACAAAGGTGTAATTGCTCATTTGGTGAGAGGCATTTCTTTCAGTCTGAACAAAATGGGACAAATGACTCTCTGCTTAGCAGCTCATTCTGCTTGGTCCACTTGTGTTTTCCACCCTGTGATGAGGGAGATAATACATCTGGTCCACCAGTCCTCATAATCTTTCTTACTCAGAGATTGTTGCTTAGGATTAGAGCATCTTGGCCGCTTTCCTTCCTTCCTGGTTAGCATGATGAAAATAAGGCTGAGTTCTGCCATGAGCTCAATCATACAACTAAGAAAACTCTATTATATTGTTTGTTTTTCTGTTTGTACAAAAACTAAATAAAAACAATACTACATGTCAAAACGTTATCTAAGTGCTAAATCTCTGTTAGTCAGAGGGACATGACACAGATGACCAGAAGCAGAATACAAAAAGAAAGTAAGTGGAGTGAAGATGATTTATGAAAAATAAAACAAAACAATAATAGCAAAGTATGCAAAAGTTTGCTGATGCTATTGAGCTGACCTTTATTTTACTAAAAAATCAACATGAATTCTTTTCTAATAGCTGCTTCAATTTATCATTGTTAGGATTGATATAAATTGTGCGGTGGAGGATGAGAGCTGTTTTTTTTTTTTTGTTATTCTAAATAAGTGCATGCAGGAAAGACTATCCA